TCTGCAGCAGAACTGCTTCAAACTGGGGAGGGGAGATGGGAAGCGATCTCAAGAAGCAATAATGGAAATGACCTCAATGAAGTTGAACAGGAAAGACAATGTTCTCACATTACTCTTAAGTAAACCTTCAGTTTCTTTTGACATTTGAAAGATCAAAACAAAATGATTTTAAATAGTTACTATGCATAGTTGACAATACTGACTTTGCATGGAATTTTAACAAACTGTTAATACCTTGTAAACATTAAGGATCACTGCCATCTCACCTTTGCGAGAGTTTGAGTTCTGACTCGGCTAACATGGGTAAGTGAGAAAGCCTGCCAGTAGCTTCTCGTGGGTCGGTGGTTCTTCCTGGGTTTTTCCAGGGTTCTTCCTCCACCATTAATATTGGCTGCCATGTATAGCCTATCTTGTGCTGAAAATGCTGTTAAACCTTATAACAACCACAACAACTACATTGTAAAACGGTTTAAAAGTTACCATGTTTCTATATATGTAGTAAGAGGATATGGCAAAATCAATGTTAAAGTAAGCAGACATTTTTTAAATGAAATGAACTTGAGGGTATGATCCATTACTATCCAGATTTAATGACTCACACTACAATGTCACAATAAAAGCTATGCATATTGATAAACAAATCTGTACTACCCTTGACGTAATGCTTCCACTCAACTGTCTCTTATTTGTACCCAAGTTTAGTACAAGACCACCATTGCAAAAGTCCATAGCAACAGATAATTTTCTTCTCAGGAATCATACTGGGCTTCACCAATGTCGGAAATTGCGGGGTGTTTTTTTTTATATGTTGGTGACAAAATATATCATCTAGTGATCATTTTGGCAACATCCTTGTGGCTTTTTAATTTTTACATACAATCATGTTTTTGGAGTGAAGAAATTCAAAGAGGCCACAAAAGAAAGCCACACACTTCCATAAACAATGTGCTGGTATTTATCTGTTACACAACAAATCCCTTGTTCGTAATGACAAACCCATCTTTACAGTGGATTGTTACATCATAATCAGACCTGCCAACCCTAAAAAGACATTCTCAGTAAGTCAGTCAAAATTTTTTAGTAAGTTGGACCAATTTTCAGTAAGGTGTAAAAACTATTAGGTACCGGCAACAAGTAAAATTTTAATAAACATTACAGTTTATATCTATGTGTTACTTACAATATATAGCTACTGATGTGACTAATACATGGTACTTTTGCACTTTCTAAAACTTCATTCTGAAGCATTCTCCCCACCTCACTTTGATGACTATTATTGCTTCCAAGGTATTAAGTGACATAGATAATCAGGATTTTGAGTAGTTGTTTGCAACAAATGAGACGACCCTCTCACAAATAGCATTTAAATGAGGAACAATAAGTACATTCTTCAAGGTGCTGGACAACAATTTGTATTTGAACTAGCCATTAGCATCCTTGAGTTTACTAATAAGATTCCATTGCTTGTCAACTCATTCAGAGCTTAAGTTCTCAGGATTCAATTCATCTATTTGGTAATTCAAAAAGTCTGCTTCCACATTGTCTTGCCAATTGGTTTCTTTGGATTCCATACACATAAATCTTGATGGGAAATACATCACACTGCTAAAATTACTCATCATCCTTTTAACACATCAGCAATTGCACTGTGTTTCAGAAATTCATTATTCTAAGGAAACCTCTTAACAATGTAATCACAAAAAGTTGTGAAATAGTCCCTTACATCTTTTTTGAATTGACAAAGGCTACTTTCATACAGCTTCCTTTCAGCAAGGTATTTTCTTATTTCTGAACCAACTTTAAGTATATTATCTAACTATTGTTTCTTACAGGAAAGTAGATATTTTACATTTGGTCAGGAAGGTTGATATTTTACATTTGATAATGCATTTATTTCAGGTGACAACAGTCATGCCTAGGTGATGTGGGATGCAATGAACATGTAAGTAGTACATATAAGTCATGTAAGGATTTATATTGCAATATTATGGCTGTATTGCTTGTTATCAATGAAGTAATAACTATCTGATATTTTTCAAGTTTCATAGCCTATTACATTAATAGACTTTGAAAACTATTGACTACTTGATCTGACCACATTTTTTGAAAATTGCCGACAAAATATTTAGGTTGGTGAATTTTTTGGGCGACAACTTTTTGAAAGCTAGGACCATCCCTGCATCTGGAAGTTTCTTGGTGACAATTAAGAAGCAGAACATTCAATAATCAGGATTAAATAGACCTTGGTTAAAGAAACTTAATATTAAATTTTAAAAGAACACGTATTTGGTTTCAAAAAGAGTAAACTTGCATACATGACCCAAATACTTGTAAATCAGACATCAGTGAACATTGAACATGCAACTTTTGCCATTAAACTTTAGTGTGATATATATACATGCACACACACACACACATACATACACACACACACACAATACTGTCAGGCATTTCTGCACATGTGATGCTTCCATCTCCAATACTGAAACAAAACACTGAATTTGACCGATTGACAAAATAAAATATTGCAGTGTCATCAGAATATTCTATACAAAATAATATTAATTTTGGGCACATGGGATACCACCCCCTCCCCCTGTTTTCATGACTCGCAATATGTTGGCCTATTCTGCAGACAGCTTAGAAAAGGTGCAATGTTTATCCACTGGGTTACATAAATGAAATACATTACTTTGGACTGTTTATCAGCAGTTCAGTTAAGTAATTTGGTCAGGTTTATAGCTAGTTTACAAACTTCAGTGTAACAATGTTAATAAATGACAAGAGATATTAAGTAAACCAAAGCGATCTGTAATAAAGTTCAACATTTTATAAAAAAACAAATTATGCGCAAGAGAAATAACAATGAATATGATGTAATGTATTTACGTCTTGTTTATGGAGAAAAATTTTAAAAACTTTAGAAACAGACTATACACGGGGGAATTTCTTGATAATCCCATTCTAGTAGCAACTCGACTCATTGGGTAGCAGACGACTTGGGTCCTACTAAATACTGCTAAACCTAACAAAGCCACGCAAAGTCAGATCAAAAAAGCATATTTATACTGTTATGATATTGATGAATCAATTAACTTAGCCGAAAGATATTTATGCAGATTCAAATTACCAAAAATTGGGCTTCAAATTTCAAATTTTGAACAATCATAAAGTACTGATAAAGTATGACACAATCATGTTGGAAATGTTTGTTATTATTTTACAAACTGTGTTTTCAAATGATTATCTGGGCCCCAAGTGGACAAGTGGTCTAAAGCGCTCTCCATTATAGATCACTGCCATCTCACATCTATCTGCATAGGCTTGAGTCTAAGATTCGGCAAATGTTGATATGTGAGAAAGCTTACAGGTAGCTTCACATGGGTTGATGGTCTTTCCGCGGATCTCCCAGTTTTTTCCTCCACCAATAATACTGTCCACCATGTACAGCCTATCGTGTGCTGTAAAATGGCGTTAAGCTCCAGAACAATAACAAGAACAAATGATTATTGAAAGAAAATTCAATTTTCCAATATATGTTATAACAAATTGTCAATTTGTATATAATTTTGTCTGTTCCAATTAATTTTGGGCAACGCGTCATCTAACAATTGTTTATGTACTATGCATAGCTGTAGCCAGCAAGGATGCAAATATCTTGAAGTTAAATTTCTTATAAAATGTCAACATTTTTATAATTTTACAATAAAAATGAAAGAACATCACTTTTTGCAAGGTGCAAATAATTACATTGATCAGCATATACAAAACTCCAGTCAAACTTGTTATACCTGCATTGGATTTGATTACAAATTATATTCAGTGTGTTGTCTGATGTTTGATTTGTATAGGTCATATCCTGATAGTGACGTACATGTTATTATAAGGTCTAGGTTGCAATTTGATTTTATGGTAGACATTATGACCCAAATTGACAAAACACTGCTAATGAGCCTACTTATCCAACATAAATAGGAAAGCAATAATAGTTAAACTACTTTTAAAATTAGTAATATTTCAATAATAATATTATTTGATATTGTTTTGTATATGTATATATATATATATATATATATATATATATATATATATATATATATATAGAGAGAGAGAGAGAGAGAGAGAGAGAGAGAGAGAGAGAGATTTCTCTGCCCATATTGCACTTAATTCTGACAAAGTGATACATATTTTTTTACTACTGTCATCATGGATTTCAACTAACTGAAATTAGTGTATCCAATTTAGTCACTGAATCCTTTATTTTGGTGAAAATATTCACCCAGTTCAAGCATGAAAGTTATATATTATCACCAAGTTGAAATTTGTGCTTATTATATGTGCGTGCTTCATACATAATTTAGGTAAATACCAAGATAATATAGAGTTGTTCCAACATAGTACGGTAATCTGAGTATGCCGTTATATGCGGTTTTAGGTACATTAACGCCATTGGATTGACCGATATCTTTTATAGAAATAGATAGAGGGAAAATCAGAGAAACTTTACAATTTGTAACAATGCAGCAATAAAAGATCGGTTTTATTGTGTACTGATAGCAACATTATGTACCGCGATAATACAGCGTTCAAGGCTATATTCTGGGGAGAAAAAAAAATATTTTTTTATAAACATAGACGTTTTTATACTTGCCCAGTTTAAAGATTCAAATAAACGAAACACATGTATCTTGTGATATCAGTATAAACTAACTTGAATATAATTATCTTTGCAGTACTGCGCCACTTTCTCCAGGTTGATATAGCTCTCCTGGAGACTCTGGCGTCCCTCTGGAATTTCATGTTCTAGGAGTTTGTCTATCTCTGCCATCGCCATTTTCCTTTTCTGACACATCCTGAAATCTAATATCAAAAACGCTTTATTAATATGTGCATGTGATTTTACAAGCGTTCATTTGAAAATGACTATAAATCGCATCTGATGCAAAACTAATCGAGAAACGCAAATATTAACAAACTTGGTACCGTACAAATACATCTTTGGCGCACCAGTAGCCTAAGTGGTTAGAGCGTCCGCCTCGTTAGCGGAAAGGTGCTGGTTCGAACCTAGGCTGAATCATACCAAAGACTAATTAATTGGTACTAACCGTTGCCTCGCTTGGCGCTCAGCATTAGGGTTAGGACTGGTCGGCCTGGTGTCAGGATAATATGACGGGATGGGACATCATGCTAGACATCACTATAAACTGCCACACGACAAACGTCGTAGCGATATGACTGAACAATTATTCAAGCTACGTTAAAAATCCAAATTACACACTTATTGCGATTTGCAGATAAAAAAGCTGAGAAAAAAATGTCTTAAAATTAGTCAACAGAAGTCGAATTAGAGGGGTGTGCGACCATTTGTTGTCATTAAAATAAGGAGTTGCAGCATCAAGTAACAACTGATTTGGAAGAACTCAGTGAAGAATAAGTAACGACTGATTTGGAAGAACTCAGTGAAGAATAAGTAACGACTGATTTGGAAGAACTCAGTGAAGAATAAGTAACGACTGATTTGGAAGAACTCGGTGAAGAATAAGTAACGACTGATTTGGAAGAACTCAGTGAAGAATAAGTAACGACTGATTTGGAAGAACTCAGTGAAGAATAAGTAACGACTGATTTGGAAGAACTCAGTGAAGAATAAGTAACGACTGATTTGGAAGAACTCAGTGAAGAATAAATAACGACTGATTTGGAAGAACTCAGTGAAGAATAGGCAATAAATGTGGTTAATTTTCTCTGAGACTATCAGCATATCTCTGCTCTATATGATGCTGATCTTGAAAAAAAAACTAAAAAGGCGCGACACAAAATTAAAACAGGGAGCTCATTACCTGTGGGATGCGTTATCAGGACTAACTTGTTCTCGACCTTTGACCTCATGAGTGGATATTGACATTTAGAAATGAACCCAGGCGATCGGTCGAATACTCGCAATATGGTAAGGTTTATACGAATGCAATGTTATGCCGTTCTGGACCTCTGAAAGACGGATGAAAACAGTTCTGGTGGGGCTGCAGTGGCAGATGTCTGGTGTACCTCGATTATAATCGTTGGATGCACGTTTGAGGTGGAGTTGGATCGTCTGAGACATGTCTTTGACAGATTGATGGAAGCTGGTCTGATGCTTAAGCAGCTGTTAGTACCATTTTTGAAGGTCTTTGGTATGACTCGTCTGGGGTTCGGACCCGCGACCTCATGCATTCGAGGTGGATGCTCTAACCCCTAGGCCACCTGTGTTTTCAAGTTCTCATTCAGTATGCGTACTGGTAGGTAGCCTTCCCTGGTTGTAACCAGCGACCTCGAGACTAGAAAGTGGTGGCACTCGCTTAACTTATGATTGAGTCGACACGAATTAAATTTGAGAAAATTTAATCCAAGTATTCTGAAAATATGTCGAATTTCGAATAAGTATGGAACCTTAAAATTAAAGTCATTGTGCATTAAAATTTTATTACAGTCAAACCAGCAAGGTTTTGTGAAAGGTCGTTTCGAGCGTTTTTTATGTCAGTGTTAAACTTGAAAGGCCATCATCTATGACTCATTTAGAACTGACACTGGCATCGCAACGCTGTCCTGGGAAAGTACACATTTGAGCTACCGACCATAACCGCTTTGAGGTGAACCCCGTACTAAATAGTAATTTTCAAAAGGAATGTGATACCCATCGTACTTTTCAGATATTATGTTGTCAAAATCTGACGAAAGACATAATTATCTTTGGGATAAATTAGGAACAGCTCATTACGATTGGTCAGCTTAAGTTAAGGAGTACACCTTGGAAGTGATGTGAATTTAAAAGTGATGACTTTGGTCGAATTTCTTTAGTCGAGATTCCCTGCCAGAGGGATAAGATTGTTGTGGGTAGGGGACTAAAGAATACTGCTTTCCTCGTTAAAAAAGAAAAGGGACCAGGTAGCTGTCTTGTAAGAAAAGACAGGCTTTAGTGCTAGGACGCACACGTTCTGAAAGAGAACAGCATTAGGCTACGCCATTTTAATTTTCCATGTTTCTATTCTTTTTGTCTCGTTTATGCATGAGCGTTTGATATGACTAATTCATAATATGTATCGCTTATTCGATTTCATGGAAGTCTGTTGATATGCTGCAGTTGTTCTGCAATTTGTCTCTTTAATTTTACAGTTTACTAGTTCATTGATATAATTGACATTGCATACGATCCAAATTTTCAGGTGCAGGATTTCATAGGGTTATATGAATTTATTTCCTTTATATATTAGAACGATACTGACTATCGTGAGCTAACGATAATTGCATAGTTATATATGATTTTGTAACGATTAAATAATCTTGTTGGTTAGGGATTGCTGTGAGCTAGAATTTAGTAAATCTTATGCAACAGGAATCGAGCATGTATCTTATTGAGTGGAACCGACTAGGTTGGAGGTCAAAGGACTCATGTCTTAGCGTATGCAGAGAAATACGGGAATGTTAGATGCACGTAGTAATTTATGGTATATCACTGTGTGGCAAGAGTTATGATCTCTCGAATTTGGTCAGTCTTGGGTGTATATTACAGTGGTCTTTTATAACTAGAGATAATTGTTGTGCCTTATTCGAAATACAGTCTAAATTTGTAAGGACCATTAATCGTTCAGGTCACATAATGTCAGAATTTATGCCGTGTTATGATAGCAAGTTTTCTGAGTAACGAAAGTGAGAGAATTTTATACACGTGTAGAAGATGTTGCATATATAAATTTAGTGGTAATCTTGTTACTCAAGGAAAGAAATCCCAGGAACAGACGGGGACAGTCCGAAGACGGAAGTCCGGAAAGAAATAAAGCGTTCAGTTTAGAAGATCAGAGGAAGATCAACGTATATACAGAAAGCGACGCTAAGTGATGCAAATCAGGCGTTGACAATGTGTTCTTTCCACCACTCGTTATCATGGCGAAATTAATCCAAAATAGAAGATTGTTATTAAATTCTGCTAACGTAAGTTCGACTGAATTGATGTTGCCACTATTATTTAAAAACAAAAGGTTTTTTTGTGTAAGGGCTCGTGTTGTATTATTTCTTCTCAAAAGCCTTGATCTGTTCTCTGTTGATGTTTTATCTATCCACTCACAACGTGTAGCAAGATCGGAGGATGTCATCCTCTAGATAACGACAGTCAAATCTAATTAACCATCCCTCTTTACCAAGAGGGGCAACACTACATATTCTCTTTGCATGGATGTCAGCAAATATCATTTTATGGCGTCAACAAACGACTTATTTTGAAATGACCCATTCCGTTGAGCGACATAGCTCTGCCGTCTGCGAGTCTGACTTTTCCTCTCACAGAAATCGGGGTTAAACGTTTCACCGATTTGATTCTCCTAAAGACTTCTCAAGATCTGAATAGGTACGGTAACACCTATATCAATCATTAGATCGAAGCCATTCCCTTCGATGGTGCCAGTTTTACACAACCCGATGTCGGCATCCAGCAATCGGTTTCTGAGTCGATAACTAACTTTGTTACTCCTGCGTCTTTGCCTTTCCTTTTTACCATATCTCAAGCGATCCGTCGAAAGCCGGGTTGTTTGTGATTTTGTTACATTTGTGATATTGTTACACGACTTTTTGCAGGACAGTCTTTTTTTAATGCCCCAGCTATCCGCACCCGTAACAAACAATTTCTTCATGGTTTCTGTTTCTGCGTCAAAGTACAACTTGTCTTGATTGTTTGATACTCCTTACTTCAGTCCTAAAATGAGCGACCAATCTTCTCGGCTCCATCATTGATCTCTCATTTCTCTGATCGCTGGCCATTGTCTTTCTTCCAGAGCCGACACGCCACAGACATGCCTATTCCCTCCATGTGGTTGTAGCTCAGCTGTATCGAACCACGCTAACTCGACAGCTATATGTATCGCACGTTTAATCGTAGTGGGTCAAACCTGTTGTATATTTAAGCGCATGCCAGAATCGTCTAGAGCATCCATGAATTGTTCTTTAGCGAGCGTGTTGACTAAACGAAAACTCCTCGGGTATTCTAAAGTCGCAAGCCGCCGTACAGCCTGCGTAAGGTCTGGTAATTCTTCCACATTCTTGAGAACTTTATACCTTTAACTTGGACTGGTTTGGTAAGTGGGGATTTATGTTTCAGAGTCTCAACCAAGTCACCGTAAAACTTTTACTCAAGCGCTGTCAGCAAAAGTTGTGCTGATTTCTCAGTACAGCACCCAAAATACAGTATTTATTCTCTTTCTATCCACGAATTTATGGGTAAACATTAAAATCCATCAAGGGTGTTGTCCCCTCAGAGTAACTACCGGCTCGTACAACATCAGAGTAACTACCGGCCTATTCAACGCTCTCCGCAGAACATCAGTAGTTTTTCCTTTGTACTTTTGAATTGACCCACTTGCTTTCAGACATCAATCAGTCTGTAAACGCTCCCTTGCGGATGTGATATCAGCTATCTTCTTGATCTTCGGCAACTCCGAGGTTGTCAACATCGCTTGTCCACTAAAGTGAATTGTCGTCTGAAATCGACTCTTTCTCTTGACGACCCCCCCCCTACCTGCCTTCATGGTTGATTCTGTATTCCTGTCCATAGTCCCCTTTCTCTCAGTCTTTTTTACCAAATCGTTGCATTCTTTCGTTAAGCGCCAAAACTCATATTTGAAAGGAATCGCTGTCAGTACTTCTGTTTCGGGAGTACGCATGCAGTCGTCGAATGTTTATCCTCCGTAAGCCATCTTTATTATGTCTTCTACCCCACGACCTATCCAAGCGCTGACACCATTTTGTAGTTTAAACTCCATCGGCTACACTACCCTGAGTCTCGCTATCTTATTCTTAACATCTTATTCCTGGATTCTTGTCATAACATCTAAGACTATATCTGGGAACAAAATAAACAAGCCTTGGATAGACAAATCCTATCCATTAGAGCCCAACACAGAAGGCGGAACAAATTGTTTGCAAGACAGAAAACAAAGGAAAAACAAGATATCGAAAACTATGCAACGAACCAAAAGCAAAATCACAACGTTTTGAAAGCCAGGCCTACTGGAGATATATTGAAAACTTTATAGAAATTAGTAATCCAAATCA